GGTTGATTCTCCGGTCTCAAGTGCATTAACACGGCCAGTTGGCGAACCTAAAGATAAATCCAGCGGTGTTTATTATTTTTGCGCACAGACTATTTTACTAGAAACATTTTTAACTTCAAATTATTTTTGAGTTACACAAAAAAGTACATTTCTTTATTAGTTAAGTTCGTTTCCATATTTAAAGAGACCAAAAAAAAACTAAAATTAGTCATGTGCAAATTGTGCAGATGATTTTGCTGCTAAAATATAACGTCTAAATTGTTATTTTTTAGCATTTTGGAGATAAAAAAATTAAAATAAAGGGAGTTTTAGTAACTTTAACACGTTATATTGAGGATAATTTAATCCCATGTGAATTTTTAAAAGCTACATATTGTGTTGGTACTTCTATATATCTGTGCCTACCAATACCAAAAGCAATTCTGTGAATTCATTTTTCCTAGAGTCTAAGGGTTATGATGTTGGTACGACATGCAGTGATTAATTAAAAAGTAATAATTATGATATTTGGTTCTAAATACGAACTTTTAAGTACATTTTATTGTAGTGTACACGCATACAAGTACCAACAAAATATGTAACTTCTAAAAATGTGCTTAGTTTTAAAATAATATAAAAAATAATTAATTTTAGTAATAAAAATCATCTACTCAAAAATTAAAAGCATATGATTAAATTTTTTTGTGTGCTTTTTTCAAATATGGATACAAATTTAACGACTTGTAGTGTGTTCTTATAAGGATGGACAAATTTATATATTTTTTTTTTTTAAAGATGGAACTGCATTGTGTTTCTTATTAATACCTTAATAGATTATGGTAAGTTGTAGAGAACACATGTGCCAAATTTCAATAACATAATAGCGGTTGGTAAGTTATGAAACAAGAAAGAAATTGGCAAAGTTAATAAAACTACCTGTATCTCGGTTATAAAGTAAGAATATTTGGAATCATATCAGAAGCATAAAAAAACTAAGTATTAAAAAAAAGAGTGAAACTTCTTAGATTAATTCACTCTAAAATAAAAAAAGACAAATAAAATCCGCGTACATCAATATTTATCGCACAGCTACTTGAATATACTATTAAGGTTATAACTCTAAACGGCGATGCACGAACGACGATCGTTTGCAGTCGTTTTTATGAATAAGCTCATCTTATTTTTTATGTATTAACTTTGATTTATTAAATTTATTTAAATATAAATTTATATAAATTTATTTAAATTTAAATTTATTTAAATTTATTTAAATTTATTTAAATTTATTTAAATTTATTTAAATTTATTTAAATTTATTTAAATTTATTTAAATTTATTTAAATTTATTTAAATTTATTTAAATTTATTTAAATTTATTTAAATTTATTTAAATTTATTTAAATTTATTTAAATTTATTTAAATTCATTTAAATTTATTTAAATTTATTTAAATTTATTTAAATTTATATAAATTTATTTAAATTTATTTAAATTTATTTAAATTTATTTAAATTTATTTAAATTTATTTAAATTTATTTAAATTTATTTAAATTTATTTAAATTTATTTAAATTTATTTAAATTTATTTAAATTTATTTAAATTTATTTAAATTTATTTAAATTTATTTAAATTTATTTAAATTTATTTAAATTTATTTAAATTTATTTAAATTTATTTAAATTTATTTAAATTTATTTAAATTTATTTAAATTTATTTAAATTTATTTAAATTTATTTAAATTATTTAAATTATTTTAATCTATTATAATTTATTTTATTTTTTTTATTTATTTTATTTTAATTTATTTTAATATAAATTACAGTCATCGTTCACTCACCCATTGTTGATACACCTTGTATTAATATAGATGCATATAATATATATTTATTAAATAGTTACAGAGAGTGAATGCATTTAAAAAACTTGTTGGCTCTGTGCGAAACCCAAGAAAAAATTTTGGCAGTTAATGTGTTAACATAAAATAGATCTTAAAATGAAAATCCAAATATATCTAAAATAAATTTTTTGGATGTCACATAACCTAGTGTGTAAAGTTCTAATATACTCTATGGTGGATGTCAGATAGTCGGGTGAGTAAGTTTTGATATACTGAATGTTGGATGTCAGACAGTCGAGTGAGTAAATTCTAATATACTTAATGGTGGATGTTAGACAGTCGAGGGACTGAAATATTTAATATACAAAATATACAAAACCAACTGACGCGAGCGCCACCTTCACATCTATACACTGGAACTAAATTTATACACAAAATTGAAAATCAAGCATTATGACATCCAGCTGAAATTTGTTTGGCACCCTTTTAAACCTCCCCTATGATGTTTGAACCCCAAAAACGTTGTGACATCCGAATTTGGATGTCACATCGTAAACGGATGTCAGAAAGATACCAACATTTTTGCGACATGATGTCATAACGTCGGTAGGACGAATCTATATATATATATATATATATATATATATATATATATATATATATATATATATATATATATATATTTCATTGCGCAATTTTAAACATACGTTTTTAACAAGATTAATGTGGAGTTGTACAAGTTTTAGGGCTTTTATACTATTCAAAATACATTATTTTATGACTATTTTATACTTTATGTGCAATCTTTTATACTTTATGTGCAATCTTTTATGCTCCTATACATTGATTCAGTTAGGACCAGAGGTAAAAAAAATTGTCTCGCTTCAAGTAATAGCCACCGAGAGCCACCTCAATGTTTTTAAATATTTGTATGAATGATGCCAGAGAAGGCAGCAAAGCACCTCAGGAACTTTGAGTTGAAACATATGCCACATTTTTAGGCTATTTTAAGGCTATTTTTATACCTTATTCAAAAATTTTATGCTCCTCGTTTTTTTGCAAAAATCAAGGTGCTCTGCTAGCTTCGAACGAAGTCAGCAGAGCACCTCAGTTTTTTAAAGCTTTTTTCCAAAACCAACGACACCATATTTTTAGGCTCTTAAAATATTATAAAACTTTTCGAAAATTTTTGTTATTTTTAAAAAATACAGGGTGCTTTGCTAGCTTCGAAGGAATCTAGCAGAGCACCTCGGTTTTTAAAGCTTTTTTCTAAAAACAACTACACTACATTTTTAGGCTCCTAAAATATTATAAAATTTTACTAAAAAATTTCCATTTTAAAATAATACAGGGTGCTTTATTGGAGCAAAGGGTGCTTTGCTAGCTTCGAACGAATCCAGCAGAGCACCCCAGTTTTTAAAGCTTTTTTCTAAAAACAACTACACCACATTTTTAGGCTCTTGAAATATTATAAAATTTACTAAAAAAAAATTACATTTCTAAATAATACAGGAATAATACAGCAAGAAATTTACTGAAAAAAAGGCCGTTCTTACTGATTTTTATAACAACTTATTTAACAATAGAATTATTTCAAATAGGTCATTGTCTTAGAGTTACTACTGAAGTTATTAATGCTACTTTTAGTCAATTTAGTCACGTGAGATATGAATATTATTGAAGATTCTGCGTATGAGTAGGTATTATGATATGACTGATATTTAGATTTGATTTGAACGTTTACTTTGCAATTTTAATATAATCAACATGTATGGAATTTTTAACACGGACACTACCTTGTAATTGGTATTTACACCAATTTTGAATCAATCAATCCCAGCTAAAACAACTTATTTGTATATTGTTCATCATTGATTTCGATTATTTTTTCCGCATTGATATAATTAATCGTAGAAATTAAAATGTTTGTTGATTAAGGGTTTTTTGCAATGAGCCTATCCTAATCTTAATAAGTATTTAATACAAATTTTCTTTTAATTTGACTTACAAAGTGACATTTTTGTAATCGCAGCGAGTGTCCAAATGATCTATCTACTTTGAGTTACATAAAGTTGAACATTATGTAACTGGTTATGTCATAAATATGTTCATGATTGCGAAAAGAAAATAAATAAAAGAAGCCTTTTTTTTGAATAATTTATATTATTTCAAGAGCCTAAAAAAGTGGTGTGGTTGATTTTAGAAAAAAGATTTAAAAAACCGAGGTGCTCTGCTGGATTCGTTCGAAGGTAGCAAAGCACCCTTTATTTTTTAAAAAATACATTTTTTTTGAAAAGTTATATATGGTTTTAGGAGCCTAAAAATAGCTTAAAAACGTAGCATAACTAGTTTTCTGAAAAAAATAATAATAAACCGAGGTGCTCTGCTGACTTTGCTCCAACAAAGCACCCTCTATTATTTAAAAATAGCAACTTTTTAGTAAAGTTTTATAATATTTCAAGAGCCTTAAAATAGCCTAAAAATGTGGTGTAGTTGTTTTTAGAAAAAAGCTTTAAAAACCCGAGGTGCTCTGCTGGATTCGTTCGAAGCTAGCAAAGCACCCTGTATTTTTTAAAAATAACATTTTTCGAAAAGTTTTATATTTTAAGAGCCTAAAAATAGGCTAAAAATATGGTGTCGTTGGTTTTGGAAAAAAAGCTTTAAAAAACTGAGGTGCTCTGCTGACTTCGTTCGAAGCTATCGGAGCACCTTGATTTTTTGCAAAAAACGAGGAGCATACAATTTTTGAATAGGGTATAAAAATAGCCTTAAAATAGCCTAAAAATGTGGCATATGTTTCAACTCAAAATTCCCAAGGTGCTTTGCTGCCTTCTTTGGCATGTATGAATTTCATATGGCACTTCATTGAAAAGGTAATTTTATGCGGAATTAAGCAATATGAGTGTTGAATGCGTTACATTTGATTTTCACGCCCTCTAGCGGAATCTTCATGTGATAGCCACATCCCCTTTTTTTAAATGCTCATATGAGTGTCATATGGCACTTCTTTGAAAAATAAATTTTATGGGAAAAGTCTAAATACCTGACTTTCTTAATTTTAACTACCTAGTAATTATTTTTAGGTGTTTTCTTTTTGTTATATTTTCGATATTTTTTATTATTTATATTATTTCCTTTTTAATATAATAATTTCACACTGTTTAAAATTAAATTACCTTACCTTGAAGTTTGCTCTTTTTCTGTTCTCTCTGCTTTTCTTTTTCAAGAGGAATCATATCTATTAGTGATGCTTCTGTAAATTTACTCACTGGTGTGAAGGAAGGTTCTGCTACAGGTTTAGAAATACCTTGGTCTACATATTCACCTGGCAGACCACTAAAATACATTTATATAAAAAAATTCTGGGTTTTGTCTTATGCACTCGTAAACATATTATACACTGTCTCACATAGTCATCAAATTAAGTTCAAAAATTCAATGAATATAAATTTAAGAATACTATTGTCTTGTTTTATTTACTATTTTGCTTTCAAAAAAATTAAGAATTTCAATAAAAACTTACCCGTCTTCACTTTCTAAAAACTGATATTCTGGAATATCATCTAATTTTCTCAACCATAATGGACTATCATCTATTTGCTTTTTTATATGTAAACTAGCTTTATAACAAAAATTGCTACAATAATTCTAAAAAAAAATATATATATAAGAATAGGGTGATAGGACAGCTTCGGTTCTCGGACATTTTAAACAAAAATTGTTGAAATAAGAAACTTCCATTATGTTTGCACATATATGATTAATTTGTACTTTGTTTATACTATTCCCCTTCCAGTGTCACATTTTCAGCACCATATTATCTTATGAGAAAATTATTAAATAATTAAAAAATGGCAAATGCCCATGTACAGGTGTTCAGCCTTGACTTTAAGCAGATGTTTATAAATATTTAACATTCGTTTTTAGATCCCTACGAAAAATTTAGTTTGAACACAGCATGAGGGCAGAAATCATATATTTTATATGTATTTTGGCGGTTCAATTGAACAAGCTTTACAAAGTATTTATTAAACAGTCAGGAATTAGCATAAGAGAAGCCAGCAGGGTTAGGTATATCCAGAATCCAAGGGCACTATATCTAGAAGGATATCAAATAGAAGAGGGAGATTTACCTAACTTGAAGCCACTTCAAATCCTACACTTCCTTGAGAAAATAGGATTGGAAGGGTCGTTATAGGCATTGAGACATTTCCTTAGTCAATTGGTGACAGAAGGGGGCACAATAGATCTTTTAGGTTGCAGTGTATTAACACCCCATTCCAACATAACATAACCAGGGCAACAGTTCATTACAAATATTCAGTAAAATCCAGACAAAGATCTGGTCCACCACAAATACTGGCAGTAAAGAGTGAGAAAAAAATTACCAAGGCTGAATTATTGAAGGTGAAATGGAAATTACAATGAATTTCCTAAAGGAGCTCCTGAGATTAGGTGGTATAAGATTATAGAAGAGTGGATTCATTTATGGTATAATGATTTAAAAACCTTTTTAAAACAATTTCGAGGCTGTTTTGGAAGACACCCGAAGAATGGGTAGTTAATGGGGGATGAATCTGGATTTTGCCATTACCCTAAATCTGGATAGATACTTGGATCTAGAGGGAGAATTTCTATTAGTTTTGAGTATTATGCATTTTTAAAAGTTTTATTGCCCAATAATAAAGACAATTCTAGGCAATTTTTTTATCCATAGTTTCTTAGGACATTGGCTAGTATTGCACAAGCTAGAATTAAATTGGACAACTTATTAAAAAAAAAATGGACCCCGGATAGTTTAAATGGACATAGGATAGTTTTCATTTTCTTCTCAACCGACGATTTGTACAGGTTTCAATCTGCTTGAAAGGAAATATAACTCTTCTCATTTTCAAAGCCAGCAGGAAAAGCTTGTCCTGACTTGGTAGTTTTTCTCTACACAAGACAACCAGAAGCACTGATTAAAAATGTTCCTGATATCTGTGTTGTTAGAAAATCTGAATTCTATTGGATAAAGAGCGATATATTTTATAAATATATATCAAATCCATTCACAGAAAATGATATAAAGCGCCTCATATTATATATAGGCGGTCACAAATGACTGTACCATTAAGAAAGTTTTGCGAACAGAACAATATCATATTATATGCTTCACCACCTAATACTTTGCATATTCCACAATTTGGAAATGTCAGTGTGTTTAAGCCTAAAAAACAGCAATGGACAAATACCATCAAAGTCCTTAGGAGATCTCAGAAGAATGTTAAATATTGTAACTAAAATCAATTTTTGTACAGTTTTCCAAGAAAGTTTTGTTTTTAATAATAGAGTTTTAATACATTTTTGAAAATTCATCTGGTTTTACTCCCAATAAATTTCCAGCTAATACCTAATATGTTGACGGTAAAAAAAAATATCACTTTTAGCCACCTGGCCACTTTAAACAAGTCTCACCCTATATGTGACCATTACCTTCATCGAAAACGTGGCTTGTATGGTGAACTATAAGTTAGTCATTAAACACAATATATCCATATGGGTCACACTGTAAGGTGAAGGGATCATCCCACTTATTTTCAACCTAACCTGGCAACTGGTAAAAGGTGCTTTTCCCAACTTTTAAAAAGTATTTGCATTACATATTTTGCCTTTTCACTTTCTATTCTCAATACTTCATTAATTACTTATGTCCCTGGACAAATAATGCAGACAGAAAAATAACACAACTATGTGTTTTCCCACCAAGAATTGGTTGTGTCTGATAATGAAACTGATCACTCTATCCCATACTTACTTTGCGATCTGTAATATCATAAATCTTATTATTTTTAGTAGATATGTAATACTGTTTCTTGGGCATGTCTGGAATTCTTTTCCCACATATGGAATAGCCACATAATTTTAAAATTGCTCTTTCTTCCACTATGTCTTGATAGTGCGATTGGTTAATATAAGGAAGCTAAAAAAATAGTTACTGGTATTAGATAAATTGTTTTAAATTTTAAAAAATGTTTTAGACACCAAAATGAGTTACCAACTTACACATTTAGTAAATATTTCTGGGCGAAGTTTACCTTCCACCGAAAATTCGACGATTTGCTGCGCTCGTGTATCACATTCCTTTTTCCTCTGAACATTATTCTGCAATTCTTTTCTAACAGAAAAAAATAAGAGTAGCTCTTTGTGTGTCAAGTCATGTTTTAGGCAAAAATACAATTATACATAGTACTTATTCCTTATACTTACTTAGTTTCTATTGGGGATTCTTCGGATTTCACATTTTGTACAAATTTCACGTAATCATCTAAAGACTCCTGCATTTTTAGGGAAAACAAATTATATTTCCTTCTGAATTCCCATTAGGCATTCCAACGACCTGTCAATCTGCTGACAAGTGGGAACTGACATTTAGATATGGCAACCTTGTGAGCCTGTTGTCATTGACAGTGTCAATGATACGCTGCGTTTGAGAATCCACATCGGATGCATTTTTTACATCTCGAGCGTTTTTTTATCCACATCTGACACATCTGTCCCATTACATTTGCTGCGTTTGAGAATCCACATCAGATGCATTTTTTACATCTCGAGCGTTTTTTTATCCACATCGGACACATCTGTCCCATTACATTTACGTATACTGAATCACGTGATCAAAGATTTTTTACATCTCAGATGCATCCGATGTGGATTCTCAAACGCAGCAATTTACGTATACTGAATCACGTGATCAAAGATTTACTACAGGTCTGTTCTGGTTTTGAGAAATAACGATCCACAACTGTCGGGCTCATGCGCAGTAGATAAAAAGTGTTCTGGTTTTTCTGGGACTACTTCAGATCTCTCAGTCCAGTGTTCTGGTTTCGTATCCGAAATAATCCGTGATTGTTGTAAACAGTCAAAAAGTGTTCATGCTTGGGAGTGTGGATCGACTCGGACTGTTTTGACCGCGCATGCGTTTTTGAAGTGTTATGAATATTGTATTGGCTTTTTAGACTATACGAAACGTATACAATCCCAAATTGTTTATTTATATGTGGACGAATGTCTCTTGTTCTTGTTTTATTTGTAAATTAAAGCAATTTTAGAATTATTAATTTTTTAATATTATTCTGTTTTTATTTATTCCATTGAAATGTGATGATAATGGTAAACATATACATGCAAATGTTATTTGAAGCTGAGCTTTCAAAAGGAACTTCATTATTATAATAAACAATAAACAAAACACCTTTATGTGTTCTGGTTTTCCAACAATTTCAAACAGTCGGGGATTTTTTGCCTTTACGCATACGGTCCGGCGCAGTTTCAGAACAGTTTTCATTTTGAGAACCAGAACAAACCTTACATCTCAGATGCATCCGATGTGGATTCTCAAACGCAGCATACCCAGCTAGCACATAACGTTGCCAAGCCTTTCGGCGATGTTGCATTAAGGGAACGTAATAACATTACTATACAACGTAAATGCAACGTTCATGAGAAGTTGTTGAGGGAAATCAAAACCTCGCAAAACTTCTATTTGTTATTTACCTAGTTAACCTACCGTAAACATTACAAATCTGAATTCAGAACGTTTAGTTTTATGTCAATTGTCACTTGTCAGTTTTTCTTGTCAATTGTCTTTTTTAATGGTTTATTTTTCGACATCCAGAATTTATTTTATAAATAATTATTATTTATACATTCGAATAGATTTGGTAAGGGTCCTCTATAAAATAGATAAATATTTTCTAAACCATTGTCTTTGTTTCAGATTACAATGCCTGATGTAAATTTATTATTTCATTCATTAAGTATCTTTAGCAGTCGATGCCGATGACACCAAATAAAAAAAAACTACAATAAATACAAAGAAGGTTTGTTCGGGTTTCCTTAAAACTCGATGCAAACCGTCTGAGAACTAGTGGAACAGTTCATTTCTAAAGTATACGTCGCACACAACTATTAAACTGTCCACTGGTCAACTAGTCCTCTGATAGTTTTCAATGTATTTTAAAGAACCCGAACAGACCTATTATTGCAGATCAATCCAGGGTATGCGCACTTGGATATACACATTCCATTCACATTCCACTGTTAGTACTATGCACCAATCTCACAGAGGGCGTTACTATAATTCTTCGTTTTTACTGTAACGTCAGTTGTTTTTGACATACCAAAATTTGTTATTTATCGTTTGTCCTTTGTGGGTGACTGGATTTTATTTTTTGCGAATTATATTATTGGAAAATTGAAAAGTACATTTATTTTATTAGTTTTTAATCTGTTTTTCGTGTGCTTCTTGGTTTTTTGTGTGTTTTTTTGGGTTTTTGCTAGTGTTAGAACTTGTATTCGTGCTTTGTTAATATTTAAGACATTTATTATTTGTTTTTAAATCTGCCTTAACTTTTCAAGTAGATATGTAAATAAAATTCCACATTTAGCATTCATTATAATTGTAACTTGAATTACAAATACTATTAAAATAAACAAGATAACACAAAAATAGTATTCTAATTTAATTAAATAAATTAGAAAATTTGGCTTTAATTATTTAGGGCCGATTCCACCGTTGTGTTAACGAAGTTTAAATTACAAACGAGGATTAAAATTACATTTTTACATTACTATGTCATTTTAATCTTCGTTTAGTAATTTAAGCTTACTTTAACACAACGGTGGAATCGGCCCTTTAGTAAACAAATGAAAATGACGTAACCTCAATGTTTGTTTTCTTGACTGAGGACTTTGGTTAATTCTGCTTCTACACGAAACGTGCATATTTAAATAAGGCTTGCAGCCAATGATCGTTTTCTAATTTATGGTCTTTTACAATGTAAGACGTCTAGCTACATTATGCGTCCCCAAACCATCAGATGGCGCTCAATTCATAGCATAGATAAATTAATATAAAACAAGATGAATTTATTAAATGCCCGCCACTGTCAACACGGCGTAGTTCCCAGCATACTATTAGTTAGCGCCACCATCGCAATAGTATGAAAGCGATGTTGCCGGTTTCCGTACACTTTCATGAGATGATAGTTATTTCAAATTCATTTTATTTTAATTTTTTATCAATCTACATGCGCACCATACCATCCATACAATGTCCATACTATTGCTGAGATTTTTAAAAGACGGGATTGACAACCTTGTAAAAAATGAAAAACGTGATGGCGGAAGGCGAGATATGATAAAATAAAACTTATTTTTATTTTATGATGTAAGTTACATAGGTAGGTAAGTTATTTTTAGGTTAAGAAACAAACGGTGCTGATTTGATGTAATTAGTAAGTATTAACTTTAATTTAATATTAAGTATTTAAGGACTTTGTTTATCATTGTTTTCTTAGCCTTAACGATATATAGGTATCTAATTTCATATTTCAACAATTCCTTTTCTAATATTTGAAACAAAAATGTCTGGCCCGGGTATAGTTAAGTATTCTTGTTCAGCTCCTAATTGTTTAAATAAGTATTATTCTAATATTCAGCAAGTTGGTTATTCAAATAAAGCATTTTTTCATTTTCCTTCTGATGTTAAAGTTCGCCAGAACTGGTTTAAGAATTTAAATTTAACTTTAGATGATAATAATACTCGCTATCTTTGTGAAGATCATTTTTTGCCAGTCTTTTAGTAAGGTTTCCTCAAAACGTAAACGACTAGTTGTACATTCTTTACCAATTTCTTTAGATAATTATGCATCCAGTTCAAATATACAACCCGAGAGCCAGATTTCAGAATATATTGAGGCTGAAGCACAAACACAGCAGCATAAGATAGATTTGCTAATCAGCAACGAAAATCAAGAAATTAGTTGCAAACGTAAACTAAATATTAGTGATGTACAATTTGAACAACCCTCCATATGGAGAAAAACTGTTTTGCAACAAATAAATGAAAGTAAAGTCAAAAATTTAAGTCCCAAAGAGAAAAAGCTGTATTTTATTAATAGAGAACAAAACGTTAGAATTTGTAAGCTAAAGAAAGCTCTATGTGTTTCTAAAAATAAAATCAAGAAAGCCTTTGAATTATCCAAAACTCAGTTATTTTCAGATTTTAATAATAAATTAGATCCGATTGGAATTAAATTCTTTAAAAGTAGTTTAGAAAATTGTAAGAGAAAGAAACCCTCTTGGACCACTCAGAATAAAATTTTTTCTTTAGCATTATATAAAAATGGTCCAAGAGCATATAATTTTTTAAGAAAATGCATTTCGTTGCCTAGTAAATCTACTATCCAACAAATTTTAAGTGATTTACATTTTGAAACGGGGATAAATGATTCAGTGTTTTCCAGATTTAAAGAAATTGTTAGAAAAATGCCAGAAATTGATAGGAATTGTATTTTAATGTTCGACGAAATAGCTCTAACCGAAAAACTCACTTTTGATACAGTTAATGACAAAATTGTTGGATATGTTGACTGCGTCGTTCTCAATCTTCGTCAAATAATTAAAAATAACTTAGTTTTATAAAAATGGTCAACATATAAGAGAAATTGTTCAATAACATATATGTACACTTTTTGTTTTGTTTTTATAGGAAACACCTGACGCCCATCAAAGTATGGTCCATTTTTACAAGAATGTGGGGAAACTAGTATTCATTTCACTTACAATTGTTCTTTATTAACACATTATGTATGTATTACTGTATAATAAATAATTTAAATATATTTGTCTTATATTTTATTTCAGTGTAAATATTTTTTGTCTACATTTTTGTATACATTTTTTGGGGTTTTATAACTAAAAAAAACTAATATATATGTTAAATACAATATTTTAATATAAATATTAGTTTTTCTTTTTAAAGTAATGAACCCCAAAAAATATAAATAAATAAATAAAGATATTTAAATGAACCGCGGTTACGTTAACTCTTCTTTTTTTATGCCTCTTACTGACAAATCAATCAGCCAGTGTAGTTCAAAAAAGATCCGTTCCATACTAATTCGCAGCACTACGTTTCCAAAGATTAACACAGAATCCGACCATCTTCTTTATTAGTTTATCTATGATTCATAGTTTGATGATTTAACATTGAGTTGCCGTTCTATTCTTCTCTTACCTATGGATCAATCGTTGTAAACCAGAAGATAAACATTTAACCGAATGTCCGGCAACATTTTACACCAAATACTTATAAAAGGTAATTATACTTTATCGAACTAAAAATACATTTTAAAAATATTATTTTTTAGGTTTCCTTCGACATTCTAGGAATTTTAGAAGCAAAAGTAAATACTACAGAAGTGTAAAGAAGAATATAACACCTGAAGTTTTATAAAAAGTGAATCTATAGGTACATGATATGTCAGGTATATCAGAATTCAAGCAGTTCATTTTCTTCAACAGGCTAGATTGCCTGGAAATGCAACCATCATTTCAAGTGAAAACCCAGCAGAAAAGTTGAAAGAAATCATAGATGATACTCTCAAGTATAATAGAATATCTTGCTAAAAAA